GTGTGTGTGTGTGTGTGTGTGAGTGTGTCAATGCGTTGCACCACCACGGGAGCGTTATACTGATTTTAATGGACTGTTATCTCCCCCCCACCCAACTCTCTTCCCCGTCCAGTGAGAAAATCGCCACGAGATAAAAAATGCAACCTAGCTCGTCCCTTGTCAAGGGCGATAAACCATTAATTCTCCACAACATCAACAAACCAGCAACAGTAGCGTCCCTTGGTTCCTCAACAAGCAGCCGGCGATGTCCAGTTGGATAAATAGTCGATATCGACAGACAGACAGACAGACAGACAGAGCATGTAGATAGGCAGACAGATATGTAAAAAAAAACACAGACAGACAAACAGACAGACAAATGACAGATAGGAAGACAAATATGTAGAAAGACAGACAGACAGCACAGACAGACAGGTAGATGTATTAATTAGACAGATAGATAGACAGACAAGAAGATAAACAGACAGGGATGTAGAAAGACAGACAAGAAGAAAAACAGATAGCTAAGTAGAAAGACAAACAAGAAGATAAATAGACTGCTTAGTAGACAGACAGACATATTGATGTGACAGACAGACAGAGACACACAGAGACAGACGTCCGACTGACCTTGAAGTTGCTGCTCTTGACCCAGTTGGTGAGCCCCTCGATGAACTGGTCCGAGTCAAAGTCTGCCAGGTCCAGGGAGCTGCGCGGGTCGCTGAGGAAGGGAACCAGCTCGCCGTGCGTCTGTAGACGGCGCTTTGTGTCCTGTGTCACCACGCTGTCCATGAAGTCGTGGAGGGAAGCCATCTTGTCGGGAGGGGGAGGGGAGGGAGGGGTGGGAGGGAGGGAAGGAAGGGGAGGAGGGGAGGCCGACTGACACTCGGCCGGAGAATGGGAAAAGAGTAAAAGTCCCTCCTGAAAAGGTCTGTTCACAATGTCTATTCCACACACAGGAGGAGGGAAGGGAAAGCCCCCAGCCACAAGACGTCACCGAGTGGAGTTCACGACAATCTGAATCTCCGCCCCCCAAAGCCTGGAATATAACGTCCCAGCGTCGCCCGTTACCTACAGAGGCACAAATGGTTCATTCACGTGTTGGGAGATAAAAGAAGACACCGAGTGAAACTCCTGGTCCGCGTCACATGAGAACAAGATAGTCAGTCCCTGAAATCCTGTCTTGAACCGCCGCCGCTCATCAGCAGATTACAGGGAGACCTGGGGAGTAGAGAAGTAGGAACAAAAATCCATCATTTTGATAAATATCTAACAAAAACAAATAAACAACCAAAACAAAAGAAAAGAAAACCAAAATCAGATAAAATCTGAACTCAGTATGCATTAGTAAGAGTTTAACGAAATTTACAAAAGAAAAATTAAAAGAAAAAAGAAAAAAAAGGTCATAATAGAACAAGTGCTGAAGACTAGAAGACAGTGAGAATACAAAACAATGTAATGATGCAAAGAAAAAAACTGGGAGAGATAAGGACGACAGATGTTGGAGATCAGGATGAAACAGTACCACACCACCTCTTTACCGGCCCAGCACTTAGCGACTTGCGTAGCACCTACCTACCTGCCTCCCCAGACATCGGAAACACTCTATACAGCGAGAAAACACAGCTGATTAAAACCTGTCAATTCTTT